AGGCATTTTCACCTATAGGTAGATGGTGTTCAGCACCAAGGACCGGCATGTTCACCGGTATGTAGATAGTGTTCAGTACCAATAGTGGGGCAGATAACTGAAATAATCTTTCAAATTGTGATACAAGCACCAAACTTGGTACAAATACTCATGAGACATTACTCTTTTGAAAAAGTACGCGGGCCACTTGGTTTGACTTTTGGCGCCCCCTAGCGGCACTTTTTGGTACTGCCCCCGACCTTCCGGGCTTTGTATCTCCTGTTCTAAACATGCTACAGTCATGATTTCTATGTGGTAAAAAGCTGTTAAAGTAAGAAAGAAGTGATGTAAATTTGGCGTCTGTAGCTGCTTGCGTTGGAACTGCAAATGCGTTTTTTTGCTGGTGCACAATTTGCTTCAAGGGCGCTTTTTTTGCTTCGGAAGGTCGGCTGCAGTACCAAAAAGCGCCCTTGGAGCAAATTTTTGCACCGCAAAAAACGCTCCTGCAGTTTTAACGCAAGCAGCTAGAGACACCAAATTTACGTCACTTCTTTCTTACTTTAACAGCTTTCCACCACATAAAAATCATGACTGTAGCATGTTTAGAACAGGAGTTACAGAGCCCAGAAGGTCGGCTGCAGTACCAAAAAGCGCCGCTAGGGGGCGCCAAAAGTCAAATCAAGTGGCCCGCGTACTTTTTCAAGAGAGTAATGTCTCATGAGTATTTGTGCCAAGTTTGGTGCTTGTATCACAATTTGAAAGATTCCTCCAAAATCTGATGTTATCTGCTCCACTACAAGAACAGAATGTTCACATGTATGTAGATGGTGTTTAGCACCAAGAACAGACATGTTCAACTGTATGTATATGGTGTTCAGTACCAAGAACAGACATGTTTACCTGTATGTGGATGGTGTTCAGCACCAAGAAGAGGTATGTTCACCTGTATGTAGATAGTGTTTACCACCAAGAACAGACATGTTCACCTGTATGTAGATGGTGTTTAGCACAAAGAACAGACATGTTCACCTGTATGTAGATGGTGTTCAGCACCAAGGACAGGCATTTTCAACTGTATGTAGATGGTGTTCAGCACCAAGGACAGGCATGTTAACCTGTATGTAGATGGTTTTCAGCACCAAGGACAGGTATGGTAACCTGTATGTAGATGGTGCTCAGCACCAAGGACAGGCATGTTCACCTGTATGTAGATGGTGTTTAGCACAAAGAACAGACATGCTCACCTGTATGTAGATGGTTCTCAGCACCAAGGACAGACATGTTCACCTGTATGTAGATAGTGCTCGGCACCAAGGACATGCATGTTCACCTGTATGTAGACAGTGTTCAGTACCAAGAACAGACATGTTTACCTGTATGTAGATGGTGTTCAGCACCAAGGACAGACATGTTTACCTGTATGTAGATGGTGTTTAGCACCAAGGACAGGCATGTTCACCTGTATGTAGATGGTGTTCACCACCAAGAAATTTACTGTACGAAGTGTTTGCATCAATCATTGTACAAATGGTTTTGATTCAGTAGGAACATCACATATACACAGTCAGCATCACATATCACTGCATCAAAGTAAGATACAAAACATTAAATCAGAGCCTTGTCTTGTCTCCTCGCTTCAGAGTTATATGTCATCCACCTTCCGACATGGCAACAGACATCTTTGCCCATTTTTGGCATGCTGACCAATGTCAGAAGGCAACAAAATTTCTTGTTTTTTTTCTTCTCAAAATCAGGAGAAAATTGATGCGCGTGCTGATGTCATTCATAAAAAATTACTTGCTGTGGCCTTACTTGCAGACTTGCAGCTGTGAAGAACGTCAGTGTACCCTCCACTAATCATGAATGACCCGTTTGAAAAGAGCTCTTTAATGTTTCACTCACGATGTGCAGGTCACACTCCGAATAATTCCGTTTTTGTTGTTTCGATGTTTTTCAGTACTTTACCCTAATCTGTGGTCCGAGTGAAGCTGACGAATTCGTTGGACGGAGAATAAACGGTTTAGCAGATCCTAACGACAGACTGTTCAGCTTTGGAGTTTTTGTTTATTATAAACGCTCTTTTATCTCATTGACCTTTCCAGACCGTCGATATTGGTGAATTCTGTATGCTAAACACGCAGTCTCGTACCGTGTCCTACAACATGAAGTCGCAAGGTGGCGTCATTGTCACGTTACAGTAATGAACGGCAGATTTCTGACCAGGCGCTCCAAAACATTGTCTTAAAAGCCTTTTATATTGTAAACAATGATACACATGGGGTGTAGAACAGCATCTGACATGTAAATATACCTTTTTGGTGTCAATATCCCTTGCTATGAAAAGAGTATGATCCTGTCATAGGTGTTTTCCATGGGGGATTCCCCGTCGTCGTCACTTCCGCATTCGCGGATGATCGAAACTTGCGGGTTCCTCACAGTGTGAAGACTGCTGCGCCGTACAGATCGCAACAGCAGACGTTTCGTCGCAATATTTACACCTATAAGGGTGTAAGGGAGGCTGGGAAATCTTCCTGGCAACTGCGAAATTAGACTGGACCTACACAGGTAGGTGTTCTACGCTAGGGTTCAGTCGATGGGTGGGAGGGGTTGTTTGTTACTATTAGCATTGTACCATCCTGGTTAGGTTACGTCCGCTCCAACGTACAGTCGCAAGTGGTTGATCTTGGTATATAAGTCGTACGTACTATTGAAATGCTTTGATCATGGACTCCAAACAAGTAATATGGACAATCCAAATGCTTGATTCTATAGCTAACATTATACTGTTATCAACTTCTTTTACTAACGTTACATGTACTAGGTTTAGTCTGTATTCATGGTGTACTTTGTATTGATTGATTTTCTCGGAAGCGCCCTTCTGTGTGAAACAATAGTTGGGTCATGCTTACATTAGCCCACCTGTTTGCCTGTGTAAACCGCACCTGTTGTTATGCGGTGTTCGGAAAGGGAAGGGAAGGGACGGTACGTTAACTTCCGTGCCGTGTAATGCTATATAGTATATACAGTAACCTTATGCTACATATTTAGGCTACCCGTTTAGGCCATGTTGATTTGATTATATGGATGACATCCACGCGCGCATGAATTTTCGGCCGTTTCCAAAAAAAAAAAGTTTTCAACCATACTGTAAATCGTACAAAACAGTTGCAAAATGAGCAAAAATATACCATAAGTTACAAAAACAAATAATAAAAACTATACCAATGTCGTAGAATGCCAAAATCAAACGAAAAAAGACGAAATTGTAAAGAAATGAACTTGAAGACTAGATTATTCGCCAAACCATATTCTTTGCCATTTGCTCAACCCTCATGACCACGTAGATTTCATAATGAAAATAACTGGTTTTTTTGCAAAACTTTTTTTTTATTCGCACGCGCGCATCAGTTTTGGGGCTCCCGGAGGATGTCATCCATATAATCAAATCAACATGGCCTTAAAAGAAAAGCCTAGAGTGAGATATTAAAGAAAGATTTATAAAATGGAAGGGCGGGACGCTATCGGGGTTTTAGAGTATATGGAGGTTGCAATTAAAATGGAAAGAAGAAAAAGAGCCTATAAGTAAATACTCATAGGCTCCTGACCCCATTGAAATTTCACAAAGAATGTGTTCTCTCGTTTTCACGCATTTATAAACGTATGCCCTTCCTAGACTTCCTAACGTTAAGAAGTGTGAGGCGCTCGATGGTCACCGTCTCCTCAGAGATATGATTTGTTGATTAGGTCATGTTGATTTGATTATATGGATGACATCCGCGCGCGCATGAATTTTCGGCCGTTTACCAAAAAAAAAAGTTTTCAACCATACTGTAAATCGTACAAAACAGTTGCAAAATGAGCAACAATATACCATAAGTTACAAAAAAAAAATAACAAAAACTATACCAATGTCGTAGAATGCCAAAATCAAACGAAAAAAGACGAAATTGTAAAGAAATGAACTTGAAGAATAGATTATTCGCCAAACCATATTCTATGCCATTTGCTCAACCCTCATGACCACGTAGATTTCATAATGAAAAGAACTTTTTTTTGCAAAACTTTTTTTATTCGCACGCGCGCATCAGTTTTGGGGCTCCCGGAGGATGTCATCCATATAATCAAATCAACATGGCCTTATCAGAAAAAGAAGTCGACCCCTATAAGTTTAGTGTTAAAAGAATTTAGTGTTAATCAGTTAGAGTAGTCACATACTATGTTGTTATCCGTTGTCCATTCTTTATTATGTAAACTATACGGTAAACATATTGTTGTTGATACGTTTCCTCTTCTTCTCCAAACCAAAAAGGTCAATGACCTGAGCCAGACTGTCTGTTACCATGGTACCTTGGTAACTAGTGTTGGGTTACCGGTACATCATGTTGCAATTTTATGACAGGAGGGATTTAGACTCCTGTCTGACCATAGACATGTGTATGAATGTGTTTGAGTAAGAATTGATAACAGAGCAGACCATATGCGAAGGTAAACATTATGCATTTGCTTTGCAAATGTTACCCTTCTAGTTTTCATGTACTTGCAATTAGCCTACAGGCAAGAACTTGCAATAAACTGTCTCCATTAGGCCATGTTGATTTGACTATATGGATGACATCCGCGCGCGCATGAATTTTCGGCCGTTTCAAAAAAAAGTTTTCAACCATACTGTAAATCGTACAAAACAGTTGCAAAATGAGCAAAAATATACCGTAAGTTACAAAAAAAAACATACAATGTCGTAGAATGCCAAAATCAAACGAAAAAAAAGACGAAATTGTAAAGAAATGAACTTGAAGACTAGATTACTCGCCAAACCATATTCCGTCCCATTTGTTCAACCCTCATGACCACGTAGATTTCATAATGAAAACAACTTTTTTTTTTGCAAAACTTTTTTTTTATTCGCACGCGCGCATCAGTTTTGGGGTTCCCGGAGGATGTTATCCATATAATCAAATCAACATGGCCTAATATTGGAAACCTGGCGTCTCTGACAGCGTCCCGCAGTACTGAAGACGAAGATGGCGGACCCCAGACAGGACATGTATGACGCCCTCACGCGGCTCCGGCAGCACATCGGCAGCGGCAGGCTCGTGCTGTTCGTCGGCGAACAACTGTCAGTACTCCCGCCGCCCGCTAGACTGGACCACTGGTGGCAAATACAGGTGGTTATTAGCCTCTATAGCAGAAATTGGCCAAATAGGGAGATATGCACGCTAGGAGGACCGCTAGTTTCATATAGTACAGTACTCCCTCCGCCCGCTAGGGTGGACCACTGGTGGCAAATACAGGTGATTATCAACCTATATATACTTATTAAAAATCTCCAAGCAGATCTTTTGGTGGGAGAAAGACGGTATCAAATTTGCCAGCCTGTATCCGTTTCCCCACCGAAGGATTATAACTGTCTATAATCCTGCAAATGGATACAGGATGACAAATTTGATACCGTCTTTCTCCCACCAAAAGATCTGCTTGGAGAGTATCCTCTATCAGTATCAGGCTTCGGGAGGCGGCTGGAGAGAGTATGAATAGGCCATTAGTAGACAGATGACATGCCAGGGACCGACTCCCCCGGCATGTCATCTCTCTATTCCGCCAATTTCTACTCTTTCCAGCCGCCTCCCGAAGCCTGATAGAGGCTAAAAGGTGATATGTTTTACTATTAAAGAACATTTCTTCCAGCTTCCACCATATACTGAGATATTGTTTTGGATGGATGGGTTTGTCTGTGTGTTTGCTTGTGTTCGCCGGTATTTGAATGAAGTAGAGTGACAGAAATGAGCAGATTTGCATACTGTAGATTGACATTAAGGTCGAGTTGAAAGAAAGTGATGACTTCACCCAAGCAAGTCTGTCCGAGAGCTTAGCAAAAAGCGGCTGTTGTAGTGGGGCAGATAACTGAAATAATCTTTCACTTTGTGATACAAGCACCAAACTTGGTACAAATACTCATGAGACATTACTCTTTTGAAAAAGTACGCGGGCCACTTGATTTGACTTTTGGCGTCCCCTAGCGGCGCTTTTTGGTTCTGCGTTTTTTCGCCGGTGCACAATTTGCTCCAAGTGATTACGCTAGGCCGGGGGCGCCAAAAGTCAAATTAGCGCCCTTGGACTCCAGGTTGGAGCAAATTGTGCACCGGCAAAAAACGCCCCTGCAGTTCCAACGCAAGCAGCTAGAGACACCAAATTTACGTCACTTCTTCCTTACTTTAACAGCTTTCTACCACATAAAAATCATGACTGTAGCATGTTTAGAACAATAGATAAAAAGCCCGGAAGGTCGGCTGCAGTACCAAAAAGCGCCGCTAGCTGGTGCCAAAAGTCAAATCAAGTGGCCCGCGTACTTTTTCAAAAGAGTAATGTCTCATGAGTATTTGTACCAAGTTTGGTGCTTTTATCACAATTTGAAAGATTCTTCCAAAATTTGATGTTATCTGCTCCTCTATTGGTATAGTCGAATGGTAGAGGGAAAATGCATAGACGTTAACAGCTGGTCTTGGTCTTGGATGAAGAAAGAAGAAAGATATATGAAGAAAGCAAGAAAGTCGTCACGTTGTTCAAAACAATTCGTCTTTTTTTTAGCTTTCTCCGAAACGCTTTTCCTGACCATATACCCTGTTGCTTGAGTAACTGTTTTTTTTGCGTATCTTATTGCCTGGATGTCTAACCTCCACCGACGTTTTTAATCTTTTAGCTTTTGTTTGTTGTTATAAATAATGATGGAGTGTCTTTTTGTCGCTGTTTGTTCATTTGGGATTATCCTCCCGTTCAGAGCGGCATCAGTGGTCTGGCCCAACTTGAGTCCGACTTCATGAAAAACCTTCCCCAGCGGCCGGCCAAAGTGCATAACGTCCTCCGCACCCTGGGAACGTTCCCGCTCATCCTCACGACCAATCAGGACGAACTTTTGGAGAGGCTGCTCTGGGGACGAGGAAGTCTGGGCTCTGCCTTGGGAGAGAAAATTCGACTCGACCAGGTAATATGTCGGATTGAATGAATGAATGAATGAATGAATGAATGAATGAATGAATGAATGAATGAATGAATGAATGAAGATAATGGAAATGATCAATATCTTGCCTCGTCTCAGAAATAAGTAGAATCAGAATTGGCATGGATTTGTTTGTTTATTTGATAGATCTCCATTAGTGATTATATCCATATACTGCAATATTCATCCTGTAGTCATAAAAGTTACAAATACATATTATTACAAAGCTATTAACACATATTAAACGTACGTACACTTATCATAACACTCAGAATACGTACAACCTTAGTACAACTGTTAGTTACCTAACCTATCCTTAACTAGCCTATATACAACAATGACAATGTAAAAGGGAAAAATTGGATATCGATTTTCTTCGAAAATATTTTCTAAAAACACAAGATGTTTAAGGTGTCTTAGATGTGAAAATCTTCCTTGTTCCAGGTCGGGCAGGTGATGAAAGACTGGCCCGAGCTCCACCGGCACCTGATCGTCAAAATGTTCGGGGACACCAGCTACACAGCCCGCTGCAGCGTACGTCTATCTATCGTGCTTTTTGTAGTATTTTAATACCTTCCTTCCTTCCT